TAAATAGTTTAAACCAAGATCTCTTTAGCATCTTTTTATATCTCCTTCCAGTCCACTCATTTCAGATGTTTGTTTTTTTTTTAATTATTTTACTCCAAGCAAGGCAATAAAAGCTACTGGGATGCAAGGGGTTACTAAGCAAGAGAGAGAAAAACAACAAAAGAACAAGATTCAAGGAGACAAAAGATGAAAATTGACATTGTATTTATATTTTTGAAGATTGTAGTTGACAGGAGAGCTAGAAGCTGGAAGAGACTTTCTGAGAAGTGTAGGTGAAGAAACTATTAGCATAGAACTTATGGTTACAAACAACAATTTTAACAATGACATTATGTGACCTAACTTCCAATCCTGTATTACGCTTAAATTTGTGAAGAGGAAAGTTCATCAGAACAATTGAGATGAAAATATTTATAGCAAATGTACAGGAATGCTATGTTATGGTGGTGAGTAAGGGACTGAAACAGAAATGCCAAGTTAGGACAGATAATGTTGCAGATACAAGTTATTTAGTTCTACCAGTTCAGACCTTCCCAGTTAGAACTAGCCATGCCACAATGGCAAACCATTCACATTCCCTTTGTGTTCCTTTGATAAAGAGCAAAGTTCTACTCTTCTTGCACAACATCTTTTTCAGAACAGTTATTTTGTGGAAAACTTTCCTGACAATTTTGGTCTCTTTAAACCCAGAGTCAACCAATATCTATTCTACTGGGTCTCATAATATTTTCTTAATTCCTCCTCCCTTATAACAAACTCCCTCTGTAATCCTTTAACTTGAGTAGCCTTTGGGATATGTACTTGGTGAAGTAACAGTAAAAAAAATATAAATAATTGACAGTACACACACACACACAGATAGAAAGACAACTGTATGCCACAATTTATGGTATCTATCTAAGTCTCTTTATCTATCTCTTCATATCTAAGTCACTTCAGATCTATCCATTTAAGTCTCTTCATATCTATCTGAAATAGATATTAAGAGACTGAAAAGTCTCTTAATATCTAAGTTTCTTTTTAAATCTATCATAAGTATCTATTTATGAGAATGAGCTGGATTTGGATCTGAAATTTTCATTATATAATACTCAACCTATGCAATTAATATTCACTTGTGAAATAATTGAAAAGGAAAGGGATTATTATGTTGAAAATTAAATGCTTTTTTTCATCATTAGACTGTAGACTTATTAATGTATCAAAGTTCATTCAGATATACATGCAGTCATACATATATACGTACATAAAAATAGTAGTAATTAAATTAATATAAAAAAAATTCAAAAACTTATCTTCAACTTTAGCATAAATTGCTCCACTCTTTGGGGGAAAAATAAATCAACTAAATTTATTAACAAATATCATATCTAGTTTAAAATGTGTTACATAAAAAGATATTAATATTTGACACCAACTTAATTTCAAATTTTCATGTTTAAATGAATTAAATAAGGACAGTTCCAATTACTTTCCATTAAAAAGTATTCATTTTACCTTTTTAAAGTTTGACTTATGTATTATGACTTATGCTCTGTGAGAGTGATGTAAAAGCCAAATGGAAGGATGTAATCTGGAAATCTGATTTACTAGAGAGCATCAAGCAGATATTCTTTCCAGCCATGGTAGATTTGGTTTTAATGTATGGTATCACAGCATGGACATTAAGTAAAACCCTAGAGTCTAAGTTTGATGGAACCTACACTCAGATGCTGAGAGCTATACTTAAAATCTCTTGGAGACAACCTCCGACTAAATCACCACTCCCTTATATTTCTTGAATTTTATGCAAATGCAGAATGCGTTTTGCAGGACAATACTAGTGCGCAAAACAAGAACTTGTGAATGAGCTACTGCTCTGGACATCTAGCCATGGAGCAAGATGTGTTGGTCACCCAACAACCACCTACATTGACCAGCTATGTTATGATACAGAATGCCACTCTAATGACCTTCTGACCTTGAAGCAGGACCATGATGGTCGACATGATAGACTCATGAATGTCAAAGCGAGCTCAACCAAATAAAATAATAATAAAGTTTGACTGAATTAAAAATGTTTTTAAAGAATAAAGACAATAACGTATTTTGCTTAAAGATAAAAGAGATTGTAAGTGTGAAAAGAGGAGGGTTCATATATAAAAAGAGAGAGAAAACCCTAGGAAATAAAAGAAAAAAGAAGTTGAGATAAAGAGTGGGGCAGTGAAAGAAAGAGAGGAAAGAGGAAAGAAAGAAATCAATTTACAAGAGTGAAAGGAGGAGTGTTCGTGAATGAGAGAGAAAATAATGAAATAGTTTAAATAAAAGGTATGGATATTTACTTGACCTCCATACCCCCCTCCCCCCACTGAGTCAGGTTGTGACATGAGGTCAGGTCAGTTTTTAACTTGGGGGCCTGAGTGTTTTCACTTGGGCCACTGGTCTAAGCTGGTCTTGGCTTATCATAGCTGGTCAGAGCCAGTCCTAGCTAGTCATAGCCATGATACCACCAGCACTGGGATGGAGCCCTGTGCCAGGAGAGAAAAATGAAGAGGTATGGAAAAAATGAGATTTGAGGCTTCAAATATCAACCAATGATAATGCTTCACAGTGAAAAAAGACTGAAATTAATAGATTTTTTTTTTTTTTTTTTTTAAAGAAATATAGACTGACTTTTTCTTTATATACTATGGACTGACCTTGTGAGCAACGAGGACGTTTTAGGGAAATTAGAAACAAGAAGGACATTTATACTTAGAATCAAAAAGAGATGATTGCTGTCATCCTATATGGCAGTGAATACTGGAAAATCTCCTCAAAGATGAAGAAGAGACTTGAAACAACAAAAATGTGTTCTACAGAAAGATACTGAAGATACCATGGACTGAACATGATAGCAATGACAAGGTTTTTGAGAAAATAGAAGCAAAAAGAAAACCTATACTTCACATTAGGAAGATATATTTGAAATGTATGGGGCCCATAATGAGGAAGGAGGGCTTGGAAAATCTGATACTCACAGGACAGATTGAGTGAATTATGAACAGAGGAAATTAGAGTAACATATTAGATGAGCTTTAATAAATGTATTGTAGTACAGGGTTTGGAAGAAATAGGAAAAAGACAAAATTTATTAAGAGCTACAAGGGACCAGAAGATGTGGAGAGCCATGATCGCCTACATCTTGAAGGGACACGGCACATAAAGAAGAAGAATTAGGAAAGAAGGCTTGAAGAAGTTGACACTCATGGGACGTAATGACGGCAAGAGACAGGAAATAACCGAATAACCTATCTTCCAAGGTTGTGTAAATGGATGGCAGAACAGGGATTATGAAGGATAGCAAAAAAACAAAGTTTACTCATAGCCACAAAATACAGGAAGTTGTGGAGAGCTATGATCACCCACGTTCTTCTTCTGTGAACCGTGTCAGTTCAGGGCGTGGGCAATCATGGCTCTCCACAACCTTTTATTCTTTGTAACTCTAAACAAGGTTTATCTTCTATTATCCTTCTCAGTCCATATTCTGCCAGCTATTTACACGTGCTCACAAGGTTGGTTACATGCTATTTGCCTCTGCCTTTCTTGCCTTCAGTGTGTCCTGTGAGTGTCAAATTCTTCAAGCCATCTTTCTTAATTAAGTCACCGAAATTTCAACTCTCCTTTCTGATTCTCGGTGTAAGTGTCCGTTGTCAGGTGTGCAACAAAAGAAATAAGATAAAGAGATTTAAAGGGAATGACAGAAGACCAACTAAGTATTATAGTAAACAAAGAAATACTTTTATTATAATTTTAATAATTATGGTCAGTGGCAAAATAGAAAAAAAAAACAAAGGCTTACCAGCAAGTTAGAACTACTTAAAATAACTTCAGTCGGGAGTTGCTGGTATTTTTGTGGTATAGTTTATATGTCAGGTCAGCAGATGATAGCAAACTGACTTCTCTGAAGCAGATTTCTGCAACAATTAACTTTGCCAGACAACTTGCTTAATTTTGGTGCCAACAAGTTAATATAAATATCCAGATGAAAGACCTCCACTTTGTAAGGTCATCTGAGCACATCAAATGGCCCTAAACTTGGAGAAGTTTCATTCATAAAAAATAGATTTTCTTAACACCTTTTTGTTTCCATTTTTCTTAAAACTTCCTCGTTGCTCACATGTTCAGTCCATGGTATCCTCAATATATTTCTGTAGAACCGTAACTCTGTTGCCTCAAGTCTTCTTTTCATCTGTGAGGAAACTGTCTGCATTCACTGCCAGATAGAACGATTGATATCTCATAGCACATATTTCTTTGCTTCTAATGAAAAGTTTCCTGTTTCTTAATACTTTGCTTAGTTTTTTTGGAAGGCATCTTTTGTCATTCCAACACACCTTTTAGTTGCAAAAAAAAAGTGGAAAAAAAAAAATGAAGAAAAGACACCACAGGAAAAAAATTTTTTTCAGACTTTCATGATCACAACACCCATAATCCATTAGGGATGTAGGGACCCCATGAGTATTGAAGATGCAGCAGCAATTGTTTCCTAACAGAGCCCAACCCTCACAAGGCTGGTTTTGAATTTAGAGTTTTTCCTTTTCCTAGACAAGTTGCCACCCAAGGCTAATAGGACCTGATCAGTTCTGCTATTTTCCCATAGCTGGTGAGGTAGGGGTAGAAGAGATGGATTCATATCTTTCCCAAGGGTATTAGCACATAAGTAAATGTAATGCAGTCAAATGGAATGTGAACGTGGCTCGTCAATTCCTTAATCCGAGCCATTCTCCATTACTTCACCGTACCTCCTTCAAACTTTATCCTCTTCAAATTCTCCTGTTTATTTATTCATTGAGTTTTTTTCTTTCCTTAACCAGTCAGTAGGTTGCAGAGGTGGGGAAGAGGGTGCAATGGCCCCCATGCATTCATATTGGGAGGTCATCTAACCAAAGAGTGAAATAAAAATTTACTTTTTCAAAATTTGAAATTGTCTTTGTTAACTTTGTTGTACAAACGCTCTACAGTCCCACAAGCTGGTGAGAATGTGGATCCATGTTTTGATAAATGAGCCTGAAGTACCCTCCCCCATACACTTGAGCCATAGGGACATCATCAAACCTCTGCACATGACTGTAATCAGTAGATAAAATACAAGAGAACATTGGGATGTAATAAGAAGAAAAAGTTAATGGATAGAAGAAAAAGAAAGAACTAAACGTATATAAAATCCTTTTTTTTTTTTTTTAAAAAAAAAAAAATACAGTAATTGATCATTGCTTAGCTGAGCTAGCTTTTTGTAGCTCAATCATACAGCACACTTGACTTGAAAGTAGTTTTCCAGATTAAAGGAATGTAGCTTTGATTTCTGTCACTTTTTCTTTTTCTTTTATGATTTTGATCTCTATGCCAGTAGACATTAATTTCACTGTTTAAAGAAAAGGTTTATCTCCTCAAACATGTTTGCCCACTAAATATAATGTTTACAGTAACAAGAAACACACATATAGGCATATATATCAGTTATTTTTTCCCCAAGGTTTATCAGATATGGGAAGTAAAGGATCTTATTCCTTCATGCTTCATCCTGTTACGTTGGTAGTGGGTTGAATTCAGATTTACCCTTTTCATAAACTGGCTGCTCTACCAAGCTAAAGTACACAGTCTACACAACTATTTTATTTATAACATGAGAGAGAAGAAATGAATTCAAGGTTTTCTCAATGTCTTTAGAGTGAATTGGAGATAATTTAAATGTAGCCTGCCAATTTCAATTTCCATCTTGATAACTGTTAGCTCAAATCTATCTATCTGAGTTCATATCTATCTATCTATCTGAGTTCATATCTATCTATCTATCTGAGTTCATATCTATCTATCTATCTGAGTTCATATCTATCTATCTATCTGAGTTCATATCTATCTATCTATCTGAGTTCATATCTATCTATCTATCTGAGTTCATATCTATCTATCTATCTGAGTTCATATCTATCTATCTATCTGAGATATCTATCTATCTATCTGAGTTCATATCTATCTATCTATCTGAGTTCATATCTATCTATCTATCTGAGTTCATCTATCTATCTATCTGATTCATATCTATCTATCTATCTGAGTTCATATCTATCTATCTATCTGAGTTCATGATCTATCTCACATTTCATATCTATCTATCTATCTGAGTTCATATCTATCTATCTATCTATCTGAGTTCATATCTATCTATCTATCTATCTGAGTTCATATCTATCTATCTATCTATCTGAGTTCATATCTATCTATCTATCTGAGTTCATATCTATCTCTCATCTGATCTATCTATCTGAGTTCATATCTATCTATCTATCTGAGTTCATATCTATCTCTATCTATCTGAGTTCATTATCTATCTATCTATCTATCTGAGTTCATATCTATCTATCTATCTATCTGAGTTCATATCTATCTATCTATCTGATTCATATCTATCTATCTATCTGATTCATATCTTATCTATCTATCTGAGTTCATATCTATCTATCTATCTATCTGAGTTCATATCTATCTATCTATCTATCTGAGTTCATATCTATCTATCTATCTATCTGAGTTCATATCTATCTATCTATCTATCTGAGTTCATATCTATCTATCTATCTGAGTTCATATCTATCTATCTATCTGAGTTCATATCTATCTATCTATCTATCTGAGTTCATATCTATCTATCTATCTGAGTTCATATCTATCTATCTATCTGAGTTCATATCTATTTATTTATCCATATATATGAGTTCATTATCAATCTATCAATTTCCATGCTGATAGCTGCTATATAACCTTCACTGTCTCAGTTCATGTCTAAGTTTATATCTATGTCTGTCTATCTATCTATCTACCTCAGTTCATATCTATCAATCTCCAAGCTGATAACTGCTATATCATTACTCTATCTCAGTTTATATCTGTCTACCAATCTTAGTTCATATATATCAATTTCACTTTCCATGCGGATAACTTATATCACCTGCACTGTCTCAGTTCATATCTACCTATCAATCTACCTGTGTTCATATCTATCTGTTTATCTATCTGTGTTCATTATCTATCTACATAGCTATTTGAGTTCATATCTATTTGGGTCTTTATCTTACTATCTGAGTCTATCTATTTATCTGAAGCCTTTTTTTTTAAAATAATTTTTCATTCAATTTTCTTTTGTCCCAAACCCTGAATCTTTCAAGTTAAAAAAAGATTATTGAAATTTTGTAATATCATATCCAGGCTTTCGAAGCATATTTTTTAAAATAAGGAATATGATCAAAGAAAAGAAAAAGAGAGAGAAATTTCAACTTTTACTTTGTTTTTACTAATGAAGACTACAGCCGAAGCAATTACAAGTTTTTGGAAGCAGAGATCTGGGTTAATAGTTATCTTTATCAACAATCAATACCTGCAGTTATATTGCAAGGCACAAATCTTTTAACTTTTTCAAAAATAAATTACCTTCTGCTCCTCTTCCTTCTCCTCCCCTTTCTTCTTCTTCCTCTACTCCTTCTCCTCCTCATTCTTCTTTTATCTACAATGTTTTCTCCTTTTACATCTCTTTTCTTTTTCTCCTTTCTTCTCCTTCATGTTTTTCTCGCCATTATTGCTTCTGTTTTTTTCATACTCATTATAAGATTCTCTTCAGTTTCTTCCTTTTTTTTCTTGAGTCCATATCTATCTGAGGCTTTTTTTCTTCTTCTTCTCCTCCTCCTTCTTCTTCTCCTCCTCCTCCTCTTCCTCCTTCTACTCCTCCTCTTCATTTTTCTTTTATCTGCAATGTTTTTTTCCTTTTACATGTTTTCTTTTTTTCTCTTCTTGTTTTTCTCTTCATTATCAGACCCTCTTCAATTTCTCCCTTTTTTTTCTCTTTCTGAGTCTATATCTATCTATGTATTTATCTATCTATCAAACAACAGAGAGCAATGGGTAAATTGCCACCATTTTATATTTTTAATTTTGTACATGCTTGTTGTTAGTTTCTGATTTAGTTATCTGCACAGTATGATAGGATAAGTTGGGCACCATCTGTGAGCAAAAGAGCACCATGACACAATACCCTCTGCCAGAAATCTGGAAACAGCATGCTGTACTGCTTGGCATTCATGCTAGAAGGTTCAATATGAACATTTCAGAATATTTGGTTGTCAATCTGTGTTAGTGCAGACAATTCAGAAAGCTGGATGAGAGTAATGGTGATTACAAAGGTGTTTGGAGAGATCTCTAATGACATTATGCTTCGAATCATCTTCCCACAGGGCCTCAGCCTCAACACCAAAGCCTGCATCAAGTGTCTTGAGGAGGTAGTGCTGCCCTGAGCCAAGAGGGTGACTGCTGGAATGCCCTATATCTGGCAAAAGGACTCTGTACCATACCCACTCATGGCTGTCAGACAATGCCTGTGACCACATCAGTCAACCCTTACATCTGACCACCTAACTCCCCAGGCTACAACTTCCTTGATTATTATGTGTGGTGTGCAGTTGAGTGAGTGACCAAAAAAACTCCTTGTAATACCAAAGATGAACTGAAAGAAAGGATTATGGCAGCATTCACCAACTTAAACAAGGAGACAATCCAGAGGAGTTGCAGGAAATTCTGAAGTTGTTTGGAGGCCGTGGTAAAAGCCAATGGCAATTTTATTGAATAAATTTACTCTTTATTATTTCAAGATATTTTTGTTTAATTTTGGTAAATATATTTGTTAAAATGAAATGTCAATGTTATTTTCATTTTTGCGTAATCTAGACGACAATTTATCCATCACCCTCTGTATCTATTTATCTGATTTGATATCTATATATATATCTGTCTATGTATCTATCTGGAGCCTTTTATCTTCCCCTTTTTCTCTTTCTTCTTTTTCTTCACCTTCTCCCCCTCCTTTTATCTGCAATGTTTCTTCTTTTCACCTTCCTTTTACATGTTTTTCTCCACATTATTGCTTCTGTTTTTTTATCAGATGCTCTTCAATTTCTTCCTTTTTTTCTGAGTCCATTCCTATCAATCTATCTGACTCCATATCTATGTCACTTCCTATCTGAATCCATATCAATCTATCTAATTGTGGCCTTTTTTCTTCTCCTTCTCCTCCTTCTCCAGCTTTTATCTGCAATGTTTTCTCCTTTTACGTTTTCTTTTTCTCTTTCCTTACTTCATTTCATTTGTCATTGTTCCTTTTTTCTTTCTTCCATCAAAAAATCTAAAGGTAACATCAATCACAATCTTCTGTCTTACTGATACCTGTTCTTTTATTGTCCTTTCTCCTCACTTCTTCTCATTAAAGTCTTCTCATTCTCTTCCATGCATCCTAGTGGCATTATCACCTTGCTTTGGGAGAAATGAAAAAAACTTCAATTTCCTATACTTTTTAGCTTTCACTGATATTTTTTTTTTTGTGAATGCATTTATTTTTAAATTTTGTCTTTTGAACATTTGCCTTTTAAAAATAATTTTTAAAGAAATTTTTTTCATTCTCTTTTTTTTCTTTTCTTTCATTTTCATCTTTATTTATTTATCTTTGTTTTTTTTTTTTAGATATTTTTATTTCTACTTTCCTTTTATCTCTCTCAAGATTTAATATGCAATTCTGTCTTTGTCAGCTTTTTAGAATTTTTTCCCTTTCTAAAACTGATTTTAATAAAACTCACAAGTTATCATTATAGAAGCTATCATATTCTTTTTTTTTTTTATTTTAAACCTCCCACTCATTTTTATACTTTTTGTTTTTATTTATTTCTTTTCTAATAAACAAAGTTTTGAACCAAACTAATAATTTTTTTCCTACCTTTTTCCTATTGAGCTGAAAAATCTTGTTATCAGGTAATAAATGAAATATTGCATTAAAAAAAGAAAATAAAATGTAATTTTTTTTAACTGGACTAATATACTGAATTCATGAGTTCCTAGTAATTATTAATATGTGTAGGTAGGGTAAGAGAAAAAAGAATTTGTGGGTAAGGCAACAGAAAATATAATTGGTAGGGTAACAAAAAATAGAATTGGTGGGTAGAGTAACAGAAAATAGAATTGGTGGGTTGAGCAACAGAAAATAGATTTGCCAAGCCAAGTTCAAATCTGACTTAATCCGTTTTGTTCAGTTACATTCTAATGCCTTCCAGAAAGGCATGAACCACCTTATTCTCCACATAATTATGTTTTAAATAGCAGAATAGACTGGGATTCAATTTCATGCTGTTTAACTTACAGAAAGATATAAAACAATTTATGGGTTATTGTTTTGTTCTTTTATTTTCTACCATACATTAAATGTAAAAACACTTTTATTTTTAATTTAAATGAAACATTCTCAATTTAATTATTTTATTAATTACTAGTTTTATTGTGTCTTATTAGTCTTCCTGGTTGTTACAATGAAAAAAGCAAAAAAATAAAATAAAAAAGAACAAAATTAGTAATAAAATAATATTTTGGAATAGATTGTGATTTTTTGTTGTTTTTACAAAATAGGGAAATTCTAATAATTGTAGAATATATATATATATATATATATATATATATATATATATATTTTAAAAGAAAAACAGACCACTTTAAGGTACCATTATAATAATTTATTTCACTAGAGGTCATTTAAAGGACACCAGATAGTATTTCCAAAAATGAAATGAAACGAAAAATGAAATTAAAATTGATGGGTAGTGTAAGTTTTTGTAATTTAACAGAGAGTGTAAAAGGTGTAGTTAAAGAGACATGGTAGAGTATAGGGAGGGATTAATTTCATATCTCTCTCAAGCATATTTTGTATTGGGGGAGGAGGAGTGACCAGACCTTGACCTATTTAGACCCTCAACTTAACTGAAGTGATATATTGAAATGGGAGGGGAAAAGGAAGAAAAAAAAGAAGAGGGAGAGGGAAGTAAAGAGAAAGATTGGGTAATTGGGTTTTAGCAAAGAGGCTGTAATTGGGTTTTTAAATATTAGCTCTGGATTTACATTGAGCTCTCAGGATTTCATCCTCCTTGGGATTACCCATACGGATTACCAAATTCTTCATAACTTAATTATATATATATATATATATCTATATATATTTGTGTGTGTGTGTAAAAAAATTCAGATAGTGCATATCTGTGAAAGGACAGTATGAATAAAGACAAAAAGAAAACTTATCTTAGCCAATACATTTTGTCGTCTGAGGGACTTTATCAAGGCAAATGTAAGGATTTTATTCTGTAACACATATTTGTATACAAGTGCAAAAATGTTATTGATTTTACAAAATTTTTAAGTTTAAGAACACTCATAAATATTCATCAGGTTAACGGAAAAGTCAGCCAAGCTATGGAGGACATAAAGTGACACAATTCAATGTTTAATAAACAAAAGTGAGTAAATGAGGTTTTAAATTTTTTTTTAAATTTGTGCATATTAGTATTTAAATTATTTTAATTTAGGATTAATTTATGTGTTATTTCAAATAACATGAGGTCATGAATTTAATCTTTTCTTTTAATTTTTTAATATTTTTGCTGTGAGTGTGTATAAAGAGTAATTCAATGTGTGTGTGTATGTACAAAGGGCCAATTCACTCATTGTAGAAGCACTTATACACAAGCACAGATTGCAATGGACGGGCCATGTTATCCATATGGTAGATGACAGAATTCCAAACACTTAATGTATAGAGAATTGGAAATGGGGAAAAAGACCACAGCACAAGCTGAAACTTTGTTACAAAGATTGCCTTAATGACACATACAAGTGCAATGTTAGTGTGGATAACTGGAGACTCTAGCTGAAGACCGGGTTTATTGGAGATCTGGTATGGCTGATGGCATCAAGATCTTCCATAAGGCATCACAAAAATATGCAGAACTAAAAAGAGGGATTTGGAAGGGATCTCTGAATTGCAATGAGGTGCCAACCTAGCCATGTGCCCAATGCAATCGGATATGTCTGTCCAGGGTAGGTCTGCTTAGTCACCAGAAATCACACCAACACCAACAGTCTATTGCATATGATGATTTCGTAATGGCATGCTTTGAATGTGCAACCTGCACTAGGGTGTGCAAGTCCAGGTCGGGCCTGGCAAGGCATATGAAAAGGCACAATGGAAATGATGATGATCAAGGTTAACTTCCACCACCCAGATATGATTTGATATGCAACATATATGACAAGAAATGCAGATCGATGACTGGCTTTATGAGCCACTGTCAATCACACAACCGATGAATGCAGTGTTGTGCAGGGGAGTTTAAATGGTCATACTTGTTTTGTGAGTCAACAACCACTATATATATATATATATATATATATATATATATATTTATTTTTCAGAGAGGTTCACCCTTTTAAAGGCCTAGGGACCACTTGAGGTAAAGAGTTATGTTTGGAAGCCATTTGTGTGTATAGGAATGGAAGATAACAGTTAACCCTAGCCTTGAACATGTTAAGATTATAGTATCAGGAAAACACCCAGTTGAAAGTCGGTTCCACAGGGCTGTGGTTTACAGAAAGAAGCTGCTCGAGTGGAAGCTACTTCTCCCAATGGAATACGGAGGGAATGTGGGTGGTTTGCAACTATATAAGTGACATGGCATGTTCTTATTGAGAAGGTTTGCCTCAGTTGGACCAGGGAATATAGTTCATCTGAGCACTTTTCATGGAAGTAGTGTTAGAGCAGCGAGAGGCTTGCCACATCCCACCTGTGAAAGAAAGGTTGAAGAGCGAAGAATAATTCATAACCCACAAGGGCTCAAAGACACTTTTGAACTTTTGAACTCTATGAAGGCTGGAGAATGAAGGTTGGGCAGCTCCTGCCCAAATATGAGTACAGTACTCCATTTTGGGTCTGATCTGTCTCTTGTGAAAGTAGAGGATAGCAGGAGGATTCAGGTACTTACTGGAGCAGTAAAGGGATCCAACCATTTTACCTGCATTCTTAGCAATGGATTGTATGTACCAGTTCCACTTCAGATTGGGTGTGATTTTGAGACCCAAGAACCTTTCAAGGAACAATGCTTCCCTGAGAGGACCTTCTTGATTGGTGGTATTTCAGGGTCAGATCAGCAATGATGGAATGCAACTAGCTTGGTCTTCAAGGCATTGAATGTAACCAGCCAGTTTTTTACCCCATTTGGTAGTTTGTGCAAGATCAGAAGAAATCGGTCACCAATATCTGACCATTGAGCATTTCAGAGGTGTACCTATATATAGTCATATCATCAGCATAGATGTTTACATGATCTGAGTATATTCTCAGGCAGATCATTTATGTAGATCAAAAAAAGAGTTGGTCCGAATGGTGACACCTGTGTTGACCACTACTTTCAGGAACCTACCTGTTAGAAAGGATTTTATGATCAAGAAGACACTTCTGGTGATTCCATAACTAGAGAGCTTGTGTAGTAAGCCCTTGTGCCACACCTTATTGAAAGTCTTTGAGATATCTAGTGCTATGGTCCTCCACGTGTGTTTATTGTCAAGGGCTTTACTGATTCTGTGAGTGATGGTAGTTAGGACATCGGCAGTGTATCAGACTGACCAAAACCCATACTGCTCATCTCTGAAGAGTTTGTTCTTTTGTAGGTGCTCAACGACTTTTTATTGATTCTGGCCTCAAAAAGCTTGCTTTATGATACTGCGGAGACTGATGGGTTTATACTGGGAGAGGGAAGATCACGTCCGCATTCATGAGAACCGGGTATATGCTTGCCACTTTCCACAGGCTTGGGTAGGATATTCCCTTCAAGCAGCCGTTGAATAACTTTGCTAGGATTGGGAATAATTCCAGATTGATCTTCTTAAGGACAATCACTGGAATTTTGTCTGGACCAGTGGCTTATTATGGTCAAGGCCTTTAATAAGTCTAGAGACTTCTTGTGCTGTAGTGGTAATATTACTGAGATTGTGCTCAGTGAGACATGGGAATTTGAGGAGGAGATGGTCTTTGTCTTCTAATGTCGAGTGTACTCTTCTCAGGCAAAACACCTCTTTAATAATATTTTCCACTTTGTATTATTATGAGAAGGGTGAGCAAGTCTTGTTGAGTTGAATAATTTCTTTTTTTTAAATTTAT